CCCTCTCTCTCTCCCTCTCCCTCTCTCTCTCTGTCTCTGGCTCTCTGCGCAGCATGTACTCATGCTGGGACTAGTTGGAGTTTGGAGGCAGAAACTCCCCTGATGGAGTCGTGCGCTGGAACCTGAGAGTTGAGAAGCCCGTCGAAGCTCGAAAAGTCGCCTGAATTCCTCAAGGCCTCTACAGGAAAGCCTTTGGGAACTGCACGTCCGGCCCTTTGGGGGTTGTTAAAGGGTGACGGGAGCGACCCGGAGAGTCTGAGGCTATGGTGAGCTCCTGGAGGTGCTCGAAGGGCCAAGGTTAGAGAAGACTGCGGAGGCCCCTGGAAAGTCATTGGTAAGCGGGAGTTTCCGAAAATGAGGGGGTTTATTTTGGGGTCCTGATAATAAGGATCCTACTATTTAGGGTACTATATTAGGGTCCTCTATTTTCGGAAACCCCCAAGTGGGCATCAGCAGCTTATGTGGCCATTGGGACCTGGTGAAGCGGACAGGTGAGCAAAGCAAAAGGCAAAGCCAAGAAGGACCCGACCTGCAATCCATCAGGCGACTTTCCAAAGCTTTGATGTCACTTGTGCGGCAAGGATGACAAAGTCGGCTCGGTGTTGTGCCTGTCCCAGGGGTCCAAGTCTAGATCCTTGCCGCACCGTGCCCCACCTTTCGGACACGACTCTCTAGTTGCAACTTGCAGGTTCAAAGATGAATCCGGCAAGTGCTTCTTCGAATTGCTAGATGTATTGCTCTGCAAAGGGCCTTCGCCTCAGATGAGCAGCAGACAGCGGCTGTGGAGCCAAGCAGTTGTTGTTCTGCTAGGGATACTTCGGCTAAGGTGCGTTGCCCTCACAGACAACTTCGATATAGGCTCGCCTGCCGCTGTTCGCAGAAGAATTTGGACTTCCATCTTTGGTGGCTTGCCTGGATTTCTATGGACCATCTCTTGCAGAACTGGGGTAGCATGCGGGTGCGCCCCTGAACCCGAAACACCAAGACACCAAGTAGTCTAAGAAACCTAAGACCTAAGAACCTTACATCCCAAACTCTCACTCGCCAGGTGCTTGCAAGGCCATCCGAAAGCTCGAGGTAGGAGAAAAGCTCCAGGCTCTCGAGGACTCGCACTGTCTTCGTCGCCTGGATGTTGGTGTTTGACGTCGTCTTGCCTAACTGATCGCTGTGCCCGAGCGGCTCCGAATGGAATTAGCTCGCTGAAAACAGTATTGCACTCTGGTTCCATGGTGCTGCTAGCAGCAGTGCAGAAGGATCGCGGCAGTGTTTGGAGGTGGAAGTAATGTGGGATAGTGGGATGGTCATGTTGTTGGGTGTATCGGAAAGATTCGGAAAGGCTTCCCGATGCTGCGTCCCCTTGACTCCCTGGCCTCGCCCACCTGTTGCCGCACCAAGCGACGAGAAGCTTTTGAAGGGGCTTTGCTTCGAAGGGGGGGGGGGGCGGGATTAGGACTATAGTTATCATTATAGTGTTATAATATTAGTATTATTGATAAGCTGTACTATTGTATGGTTATTCTAACAATAACAGAATATAGACTACATACTGGGATCCCTCTTCGTTCAAAGGATCCCTGTAGCAGAAGGGCTCGCCTTTCAGAGCCCCTCCTGCCATCTTTCGCTTCGAGTGCTTGGCTCCTTAGGGTTTAGGGTTTAGGGGTTTAGAGTTTAGGGTTTAGGGTTTAGGGTTTAGGCGTTTAGGGTTTAGGGTTTCAGCTTGTTTCAAGCAGGAGCCAAGGGAGGACGCGAAGCGACACCTCGTGAGGATGAAGGTGGCTGGGCATCTAAGTAATCCTGACACTTTTTGTAAGGATCCCCAGTCTTTGGTTCGGTGCTTTGCGGGTTCCTCATTTTCTGAAACTCTCATATGCCAAATAGTATAGCGACTGCGTCGAATGTGGCTGCACATACAAGATTTGTCACAGGCTCTAGTCACAAGTGTAGCTCGACGGATGTTGCAATCCATGTACGGGGACAAGGTGAAAGCCCTCTCCGACGGCCGCGAGCTCATGACAGATCCACATTTGCATCATAGGATGAAGCCCCAAGAGCCATGCAATAGCCCATTCCCGGAAACTCTTGCCCAGTTCTTTGGTGAATTTGAAGCTGCTCCCAGCTGCCCAAAGGCGTTGCCCCTTCCAGGATTTCTGAGGAAAGGGTCACCTCACGACCGCTCGACCGGTAGCTTCCGCGGTGTCTTGATCTCCACCTTACCGCCAGAGACGGTACGTGAGACGTCGAGCTCGTCAACTTGAGTCGAGCCCGGTCCTGTTGCCAAGGCAAAGAAGGTTGGGCCACGTCACAAGGGAATCAAGGCCGGGGATGGGAACAGAACACTTTCTTTTTGCCAGAGGCCTAAGAGACGTGTGTATGCAGCGCAGGGTTGGCAAAATACTGTGCTTAGCTATCAAGCTCGATGCCTTCTTGGGGGCTTGAGCATGCATTCACCATGCCAGCTCCACAGTAATCCTGCCTATAGTCAGGAACCATGTACGTGGCGGCAAACAACCGTCACTACACTTGCATCCACAGCGCGCGTCTCCCGGCTGTCGGGGTTGCGGGCTGCCCTGGCCTTCTCGCCGAGTTCTCGCTGCGTGTGAGGTCGACTTGGAGCCCATCTCGGGCCAGGCGAGGCAGAGGGCCTTCAACGGTAGCTCCTGGCCCTAGAAGTGTACCGAAACCCTAAAAAACCCAGCAAGTGTTTTCTTGGATTTGTCCGAGTGTGAGCGCCGAAACTTGTGTTTCTACAGATGAAGGTCAGGAGACTCGAGCCTGGTGAGCGCCGCAACCTCGAGTCCCGAACGTCAGCCGAAGCCCTTAAATGCCCTGTTCGCTCAGACTTCGAGCTACTCCAAGATCCGACGACTGAATCGAGAGAAGGCAGGACCCCGGATCTGCAACAATACTTCGAGGATGTGTCAAGACGCGAACATGGATTTATATGGTTTTGCTTGTGGCCGCCAGGCAAGCTTTTTGCGAGGGGGCGCTGCCTTTCAAGCTCCGCTCAAGTAGGCACGCGTCGGATGAAATCGCTCTCTTTTCCAGCGCCGGTCGTTGTACTCACGAACGTCCAGTCTTCTTCGTAGTCCTAGCAGTTGGTCAAGGATGACGGTCGCGACAGTCCAGAGCAATTGTGAGTTTGGCTGTAGGAGAGTTGTGCTCTAACTTGATGACGGTAGATGTGCAAGTTGCGCAAGTGCATTGCAAAGGCGAGGGCTGGTTTGCAGTCGATGAAGCTGTACAGCCTTGGATACACCGCAGGAGCCCAAGAATTGGTGACTGGCTGTTGGCAATCTGCATGCAGTCGCTGTTTCTGGTGTGTCCCTTAGGCCAAAAGTGTGCCAAAGATGCCACTCTGCGGACATCCATGGATGCAGATGCAGAGGTGCCTTTCAGCTGTTTCCGCCGTTTCAGCTTCTGCCCTTTTTCGGGATCATGGGCCTCTTGCAGGTGGTGCGTGAGCTAGCTGCGGGCGAGGATGTTGAGATTTGTCAGGCTTGGCCGAAGCCCGTTAAGCCGAAATGTAGTCCTGGTTTTGCGATGGCTTCTGTCGTAATGGATGCGCCAGCTTGTGAGCAAGTGCCGGTTGCCTGTTATAAGTGGAAAAAAAGACTTGGGCCACAAACAGAGCTTAACCGGCATGGCAGATGTGCTGTCTGCGAGCAGGCTCCAGAGCCCTCTGCAAGCTCAGAAGGCCAGTCGTTCGGAAGATGGCTGTCCTAAATGTGGCCTGAATCCAAAAGCTCGGAACCCGTGGGTGAGATTTGTGCTGCCAGGCGGCGCGTTGATGGTTCGTGTTCGAGCGAAGAAAGTCGCACGCTCAACATCGGCGCTTCAAAACGCTTCCAAGATGTTCGTAGGTGACTTTCTTCAAGAAAACCACCCGTCTCGTGAGTCTGATATCTGACTTACCCCTGCAAGCAGTCCTGGAGTCCTAGTGTGCAAGAAGTAGCCTTCTGCCATGTCCCCTTGCTTCCCTAGAATGCTCCCAACATTGCCCTGAAAGTTGAGTCGAGGATGGCGTGGCAGGCTTTCTGCCCTTGTTCGGAGAGGACGGCCAGGCTCGATCACGCTAGGAGCTGTTTTGGTTCACGTGCACTGGCTTGGGGTTTAGTTTAGGGTTCAGGGGTTCAGGGTCCAGCTCATTTCTCGACATGCAAGCCTGTAGTCAAACGATGGCGGCTGCACTGCATTTCCGTTTTGGCTGACGGAGGCGCTACTCGTCTGATGGGCCGGGGCAGTCATGCTCCGGTGTCCAAGACACAGCTGGGAGCAGCGAGACTGATAGCCTCTGACAGAGCACCCCTTCAATTCCAGAGACCCTACAACCCGCTGAACAAGAAGCCAGACTTCACATTGAGCATTCCAGCGGTAGCGGAGGTGCAGCAGCAGCGGCAGATGACAAGAACCATAGCAAGTAAGGGCAGCTGCACAGACGGTATCCCCATCCCGAAGCTGAGCGGACTTCCCTTCACTACTCTAGTCCAGTTGGAGTCCTTGCATTGTCAGCTTGGAGATATTGGGTGTCATTCAGTTCAACAAGCATCCACCGACCCAACAACATCATGCAAAAGAGGCATGGCTTTAGCTCAGACCTTCACCGGAAGGTTTGTCGTGGCAGAGGATTTGCTAGGATCTTCTCTCCTGAGGCGGAGGGGATGATCGTCATATGCGGTGCCTTGCCCAAAACTCAGAATTAAATCGATTATATCTAGTTCCGTTTTACTCAAATATAATGATACCAGTGACGAAGCTAGCAACGGATCTTTCGAGATATGAGAGAGAGAGAGTGATAGAAAATCATGCACTTATTTCGATTGGTGCATCATGAAGGGTATCAAATGATATGTGAACAGCAAGCTTTGTACAGATGCGGTGCTGGTGCTTTACTAATTCTTAGGATAATTTGCTTTAATGACTCTACATCGTAGGATCGTCTTTGTTAGATGGGAAGCAAAAAATGATAGCTTTATAAGGAAGACTTTTTTTAAGAAATTATATTCTATACTATTAGAAAGATTATAAGAAGAGAATATAAAGAGATATATATTTATATTTTATATATAGATTTATATGCATTTATCTCTCATTTTTTTCTAATAAAAATTTTGAGGTAGAAAAAGATTTGAATGAAAACTTAATATTTAAATTTAATCTATCTGAAATTGATAATCGAAAATCGAAATTTATAGAAAATATATCTATTGGATTTCATATGAATCTTGAGATATTTTGAATATTTTGACTATTGATTATTTGTATTAATTAATTTTTTCCCCGAATACTAGGCCTTACGTCTTAATTATAGATATTATTTTCCCTAGATTCATTCGACGCCTAGCCCCCGCTATATTAAATTTGATTGAGAATTAGGGGGGATTGAAGGTTTTGCCCTTGAGTTGAGTCACTAGGGATTTTTAATTAGGATTTAGGGTTGAAGCTTTAGAGGGGCTTTCAGGGTGATGGATCGTAGTCACTACGATATCTCTCTCGTATTCGGCATTGGGGGGGAATAATCGTATATAATATTTAAGGTATCTCTTTGTCTATCTCGTTGTATAGATCTAAGGATTTAGGTCTCTTCAACTTCTAAATATATTCGGCCGACGGGAATTTTAGAATTACGAGGTCTTAGTATTTGGGGGAAGCGATTAAATTCGACAATTGCAAGGTCATTTATAATTCTATTTAGAATTCGATGAATAAGATTTATTTCATAAGTTTGGATAAAACTTATAATTTATAGATTGATTTTTTTTCTTTATATTTTTTAGAATTTTAAAGCTTGGAGAATAATAATTAATGATAGAATTATAAAGAAAAGAAATTATAAATTTATTTCTAGATATTAATAAGAGATATTCGTGCGATAAGATAATATTTATAATTTTTAAGAACGCTTAAATCCTTCTTCGCGACTCGCTCAGCCGTGTAGAAGGCAAAAATAAATCAATAAGAAAAATATAATTGAATAAAATATTTTTGCTAATTATATTGATAAAGTTCAAAAAAAATAAAAAAAATTATATATTGAATATATTTTTATTAGTCTTAGGAAGTAAATATATTTTATTTATTTTTCATATTATTTCTTATATAGATATGAAAATATAATGATATATCTATTATATATGTAATTATAAATATATATTATGAATCGATAGTATTCGAAAATTGTGATGGGATGGAGAGAGGAGATATAGAAGTATTTTTAAAATTAATTAATAATAATATTATCGGAATGGCGAGATTATATATTATTTATTGATATTTCTTTCTTTCGAATTAGAAAGGGATTATATGGAGCTTTGAATATCTATCGAATTATTCTTTCTGGGGTTGTCGGAAGAATTGATTCCATAGAGATTTTCTTTTTATTGAATTCAATTTTTAGCTACTATTAGCAAGATTCTTTTTGGGCATGATAATATTATGATCGGAGGCAAATGCCAGGTCGGGGTGATGGTCGAAATCGTCGTCGCTTCCGAAAATAATTGGATTGATGGTTCCCGGGGAAATAAGCGATCTGTTCGCCTTTTTGCCTTTCAAAGAAAAGGCCTCCTCCTTATCGCTATTCATTATAAATAAGAAACCTGCTTCCTCCTTCTTGAAAAAATCGATAGTCGATATCATAATGAAATCTATCATTATATCGACCAAGCGTCCCAAAAAAAGATTCTCAAATCCAATAATATATTATTGTGATTGGGGATCTGAATAAAAGACAAAAATATAATTTATATTCCTGGCAATAAGAAAAATAAATTTTCCTACCGATTATTGCCCTGGAGCAAAATCTCCATGAAAAGCAAGCCCCGCGGAATCGATAAGATCAAATCTATTATTCTGAAGCATATCATAGAAAACTCCTTCCTGATATTTGATGATTAGCGCGCAATAGACAAGGCTATTCATTCGGTCGACTAGAAATATATTCCACCCGTCAAAAAAAATTTTCCGCGATCCCTTGACTGATTTTCAAATAGATAATATAGAAAATATGCATAGAAGAAATAGGCCAGAATTCTTTCTAAGAAATTCTAATTGAATATATCCGAAATATATCATTCTCAAGAAATTTATATGCCCCAAAATATCGAAGCTTTCCGGGATGCCCTCGCATGATTTCATATCTATCGCCACCCGCCGATTCGAGGGAAGCTCAGAAAGACGAATAAGACAAAGAAACGAAGAAAAAACGACAGTGTCAATCATAAGAAAATGATCAAATATAAGAGCGAGAGCCAGCTATTCACTGGAATTTCCATCAGGAAATCAATAATATTCAGTTGGATTTATATATGTTTATATCCGACACATTTATATATCTATCTATATAGTCCAGTCCTGGAAATCTTTCCCTCGATTCAAAATTGATTTTCCATATTTGATTTGAGATATTTTTCATATCGAAATCAATGCCCTATTTCAAGAATATCTCGATGACGTGCAAAAATAATAATATAATTGACCGTAATATTTCTTTCAATCAAATATCGATTATGAATCATATCTCCTTGAATTCTTCTAGTCATCTTGCCAAATATTTTCCGCGAGCACGAAGGAATAGATTATGAATCGGATTTCTTATGAATTTCGTCATATCATTTTTTGGACTTGAGAGAGTCATATATAAATATACCAATATTTGAAGATTCCTTCTATATTTCCCCAAATAGCGAAGTGATGAGATTCTCAATTTATTCAAAGAAAGGGATAGTATGACGCGCCTCACCGGGGACTCGCCGGATTTGTCTCCCTTCGTAATCTCAATTTAAACTGTTGTCTGCGCTGTTGTCTCCGCTCTGTCTGAGTCTGGGAGCCGCATGCTGTGACGCGCCGTGCCGGGGACAAGCTAGATTTGTCTTCCTTCATAATCTCAATTTAAGCCGTCGTCTCCGCTGTTGTCTCCGCTCTGTCTGAGTCTGGGAGCCGGATGCTGGGACGCGCCGCCGGGAACTAGCCGGATTTATCTCCCTTGTCTCCATTCTGTCTGAGTCTGGGAGCCGGATGCTCTGACGCGCTTCGCCGGGGATTAGCCGGATTTGTCTCCCTTCATAATCTCAATTTAAATTGTTATCTCCGCTCTGTCTGAATCTAGGAGCCGGATGCTGCGCCGCGCCGCCGGGGACTAGCCGGATTTGTCCCTTCCTAATCTCAATTTAAGCTGTTGTCTCCCTCTTGTCTCCGCTGTGTCTGAGTCTGGTAGCCGGATGCTGTGACGCGCCTCGCCGGGGCTAGTCGGATTTGTCTCCTTCATAATCTCAATGCAAACTGTTGTCTCCACTGTTATCTCCGCTCTATCTGAGTCTGGGAGCCGGATGCTGCGACGCGCCGCGCCGGGGACTAGCCGGATCTATTTCCCTTCATAATCTCAATTTAAAC